CACAACAAATCAATATCCATCATTCATATTTTAATACTTTTCTAATCTACCTATACCTATATAATATTCTATGAACCTATATATATCTATATAACATTATATAATATATTATACGTAAATCTAACGTTTACGTTGAAACTGTAGGTTTTTACTTTTTAGTTATCATGTTTAAATCACTACAGAGTCATGGCCGTTTTCGCAACGACCGCGGCATATCCTGTCGCCATGGCACGACCGACAATTATTGGTCTAGCCCCTGGCGGTTACCTTAAGAGTTAAAATACCTACCCAAATTAGATTTAAAATTAAAATGTAAGAAAAAAACCCACGTGGTTCATTAGATAACATGATTAATTCTAAATTTGAATAATTTTACAATAGGTCATTTTGAACTTCAATAGTTCAATGTAATCTCACGTAGAAGCAACATTTTTGAAGTAGTAACACCTTGCACATCATCGTAATTCGTAACAATTTGTAACAACTAATAAGAACAAATAGGTAATAATTTATTATATTATTAATTGTATACAATTTCGGAGAATTAGTATAATATGAGTGTAGACGGTGTAGTTGTAAACTGTAGTAGTGTAGTTGTAGCATAGACATATTAATAAAATATTATTAATATGTCTATGAGTTGTAGTCATAGTGTCATACTCATGACCACGGACTAAGATATACAGGACTGGACACGACAAGGTTGGAGGGTGTGGGGGGGTTGACTACGAAATGTTTTACAACAGGTAGTGTTCGGGGGGATATTTTCCTTTTAGCATTACTAGCGCCGTCCTAGTGGATACTTATGGAACTAGAACACATCATACAAATTTCTAGTTCGATAAGTATCCACTAAGACGGCGCTAGTAATGCTAAAAGGAAAATATCCCCCCGAACTCCGCCTGTTGTAAAACATTTCGTAACCACAATATTCATCTCGTGTCCAGTCCTGTATATCTTAGTCCGTGCTCATGACCATATAATAATTTTTATGAACATATAATAAGATCATGACGTCATTATGGTAAATGGACATTTCCCCCCCTCGGGTGTTTTTGGTCTAGTTGGACATTCCCCCCCCCTCACCAACGATATTTATTATCTTTGATGTAGACATTTCCCCCCCATTTTTTTAAAGTTTATTATTGACAACAATTTTAATAAGAATTTAATAATTCAATATTATTTTTTTCTTTATAAAATATAAAATACATAAATATTTTTTAATACTACTATTAAATTTATTTTAAATAATACTATTAAATATGCGTAGAAAACTTAAAAAAATGGTGGGGATGTGTACTACACCATAAACAGTTGGGGGGGGGGAAATGTCCGAGGGGAAAATGTCCACGATTTGTCATTATATAATATATTATTATTATTTTCGAATCACGATGTAGAGAAGATATTATTAGCTTCTCTACATCGTGGTTCGAATTCATAAATTCGGAGTATTATTAAATCTTTGCAGTTGATTCTCGAAGTAGTTGTAGCAACCCTATGCTTAACTGCAGTGTGTACAATCTCCTTGATTCCTAAAACAGCTGCCTTGATTGATAAAAAAAAAATGGCTGATTGGAGGGAAAAACTATTTTGTTTTTTGTTAACAGAATGCACTATGCTCAAATACCGTAATGGCGTAACAACTGATGGTCAATGGACGTAAATACAAACGCTATTGCCTATTGGTATTATTAATGTCGCCAATCGCTTTTTCGGTTATTAATTGTTGTGTGCTTTACTAGTAAATTGGTTGCGCTTGTGTCTTCCGTTGAAATTTGTGAAATACGTGTGTGCTGTTTTTCCATATTATAAATTTATTATTTAAACGTTTTTTTTGTTAGTGTTGTGTATTATAATTAAATACGTTTTGTATTAAATAGGTGGGTTTTTTTTGAAATAATTATTATTTAATTTTATTTATACATCGTACTGTCGTTCCAGATTAATTGCATTCCAGTATCTATTTTTAGTATTTTAAGGGTCAGCAACATATTACTTCAAATTTACTTACCGTGAGTATTTTAACCTAAACCACTGATTTAGCAGATTAATTAGTTTATTATTAATTATTTATTTTATTCTCAATATATCATAGTAGGTACTAGGTGTCTAGATAGGTATAATCATGTTTTTACTTTAAGTTATCACTTATAAACACTATTTTAAGCGTATAGATTTGTCAATGATTTCAATGTCCCCAGTTTATTTTTTACATGGTCTGTAAAATATTTTTCTCATCAATCCAGTTATAAACAACTTTATATGCATCTTAATATGTATAATATTGTTAATAGTTTTATTTTTTCTGTTGTTGATTTTCTTTATCATTTATTACTACCTATATAAGTTGTTGTATTTAGTGAAGATAACTATAGGTTCATAACCTAATCATAATTTCTATTGTGTTTATTTTATCTAAATTTTTTTTACTTTATATTTAATGAATATACATACCTGTGAGTGGCGCAACTAGGGCTAAAATGTTGGGCGGGGGGACTATATCTCCCACCGACTCCACCTGATATTACCTGAAAATAACCCTGTAGGAACTTTTCCCTCGCACCCCGTTATATTTTCTCTTAAAACTATAAAAAATATTTTTAAAAAAAGTCCAATATATGTTTACTTAACTTTAATTTAAGTTGAGATTTTAGTTTTATTTTTATCAGTACCTAAATATTTTTAATATTTTATTAATTTAAATTTTGATATGATGTATTGATAAGTTAATAAACCTATCTTGATTCATTGACTGCGTGAGTATGTGTTTATCCTCCTTGTAGCTGAAAAGCAGCCTTCTGATGTGGTGGATGTAATCGGCAAAGTAATAGCTAGGTACTTGTACCATTAAATACAAATTTTCTTTTACCTATAAAATTAAAGTCCTTTGTATTATCACCAATAACATTTTTGAACACCAACATTTGTTTACTTTTCAGATAAATTCATACATTATTATCGTTCTGTGTATGTTATAATAATAAAATTAAACTAATTTTTAATTAGTTTATAAGTATGAAATAGTCCACTATTAGTATGCTTATTTAATAGTTATTTATGTTAACTTAAAATGATTATTAACAATTAATCAAATAGATTAATATTAATATTATTGAATACGGATAGGACATTATACATCATAATATTAAGAATATTAGATTACAAATTTAAATTATATAATATTGTCAATATAAAAAAGGTGGGTAAGTGGATGTCGCTCTGCTGTACAGTAGGTTACAAGTGGGTCACTGTATAATGGATGCTATTAAATTTGAATTCAATGATACAATATCATTGTATAAGAAAAACGATTCTGAGCGAAGACGGTATGTCAGTCTAGGTTTAAGACAAATTATATACATATCTATAGTATTAAAAAAAAATTGACCTATAATAAATTCCAAATTAAGCATATCACATTATCACAATATCCATTAGGTACTTATAACACGTTATACATCAACATCAATAACAAACCCTGATACTATCATAGATATATTTTATAGTACACTTTAGAAGTTTCAAGTAGGTACCCACGAATAATATTATACAATCACAACAAAATAACTAGGTTTTTTAATATGTAATTTCGTCCAAATTTGAACATAAAATTACTATAAAAATAAACTGTGATTGTATATTTTTTAGATTTTTTGGTAAGAGAATTATCTACTTACGTGGAATCTTGTTTTAAATTTTTAATCCTTAGCTATAAAAACTGAACATTTTATAATTTTATTAATTACGATGATTAATAATTTTCGAGATTTTGAAAAATTCTGTCAAAATTCGATGTTTAAATTCTTATAAAAAAAATTGTGCCTATGTATTTTTAATATTTTTCAACTGATATTGTAACAATATATCAGGATCCTTGTATTAAATTTTTACACTTTTTGTCCCAACAGATAAAACTTTATTGATATTTATAGAAAAAAAAACTAAAAAAAATTGAAAGCTGTAAATGTCCATAAACAGCTCAAAAAGAGTCAAAATATTTTCAAAATTGTATGGTGTATATGAAATGCTAATATAAACATTCAGTGAAATTTTCATGTATCTACAGTTATTTGTTTTTGAATTACAACAAAATAAGGAAATCGCTACATGGGAAATCGAGTGAACATCCAATGTTGTAAAAATTTGAATTTCAAACGCTCATAAAAATTTAATTTGAGTTTCTTATAGACATTTTTTTTTTTGATAAAGGTAGATAATCTTATAAGGAATCTTGTGTTTAATTTTCAAATCTTAGATTTAAAAAGAAAAATTTTTACGAATTCTTAACTCAAAATAATTTGCTAATTTTCGTGATTTTTCCATATTTTGTCAATTTTTGAACTTTAAATGCTTATAAAAAAAAATTGTGACTAAGGATTTTTAATATTTTGCATCTGCCTTTGAAACAACATATTAGGAGCCTTCTATTAAATTTTCAAGCTTTCGCAACCAACAAATAAAATTTTATTGCTATTTTTAGAAAAAAACTAAAAAAAAATGGAAAATGAAAATGTCCCTAAACAGTTCAAAATAAATCAAAATATTTTGAAAATGTTATCGTGTATAGAAAATGCAAATATAAACAACCAGTGAAAATTTCATGTATATACGTTCATTTGTTTTAGAGTTACACCAAAAACCAAAATCGATTTTTTGGAAAACCAATTTTGCGTAAAAATTCCCGTTTTTCCTTAATTTTTATGTTGTTTTTCCCGGCGCTTGTGAAAACTATTGGGAAATTTATACTTTTGACCCCCCAAAGTACCAACTAGATTCACTTTCCTATCAGAAAAGCTACTGATGAAGAAAATCCAAGCACTTTTACTGTCCTAAAACGTGATGACAGACACAAAAATAAAAAAAAAATAAAAAAAAAATAAAAAAAAAATAAAAAAAAAACACACATCATTGTAAAATCAATACATTCATCGTTTCACTCAGAATCTAATATAATATCTATGTTTATTTCCTCTTAGGCAGGTATCAATAACATCATGGCTAAAGTACAACTGTCCAATGTGGTTGTCTTAGACAATCCGTCTCCATTTTTAAATCCTTTTCAATTTGAACTTACGTTTGAGTGTATTGAAGATTTAAACGAAGGTATTATCAAAGGATAAATACACCTATTTATTTCAGATGAATTGTTCATATATTATGGTTTTTAGATTTGGAATGGAAAATGATTTATGTTGGATCTGCTGAAAGTGAAGAACACGATCAAATACTAGATACTATTTATGTTGGCCCTGTTCCTGAAGGAAGACATATGTTTGTTTTTGAAGTAATAATTACATATTAATATTTAATTTTCTAGTTCTATACATAAACATATTTTTTAGGCAAATCCTCCAGATGTATCCAAAATTCCCGTAGAAGATGCTGTTGGTGTAACTGTTGTACTATTAACTTGTTGCTATCGTAATCAGGAATTTGTTAGAGTTGGATACTTCATTAACAATGAATATACTGATCCAGAGTTGCAAGAAAATCCTCCAGCTACGCCTCAATTTGATAAGGTATTATAAAAAAAACTATATATAATATGTTTATGAACTAAAATAGTGTTTTAAATGTAAGAAAACAAATTAAATTACTAAAATAATTATTTTATAAATTGTCAATTGATTATATAATGAAATACCAATCAGATTTGATTTAAATATTATACATATCATGATGCTAACCTTGAAGGTGTCGGTGCCCGCTATTTATTAAGTTGCAAAATTCAGTCAATTTCTAGTTATATTGTGAGAGGGCCGTGTAACAGTCCATATGGAAAAATAAAAACCATTTCAACGATGGCTGGAGCATGCCCACCTCTATTTTTCCTTTAATCATTTATTTATTCAGAATTTTTCGAGTATTCATAAGGACCATGTTTTCGGGTAATTACATTTTTACATCATTTAAAACGATAACCACCCCTTTTTATTGTAAATTATTAAGCAAGTGATTTTTTAGAAAAAATATTTGTATCAATCATAATTTGTAGTTTCTGAGTTATTAAAATAAGATTTTTAAAGATTATTACTTAAGATATAGTCCTAATAAATGGTTTTACAAAAATATAAAACAGTTGTAATATATATTGAATCTAATATTATTTATTATTGTCCCCAAAACAAGTTTTATAAATAATAAAATGCTAAAATAAACAATAATAATTAAACTTTTCAAACTTAACCTAACCTAGACCATATACCAAAGTCATTATCGTGGACTTATGTATCTTAGTACACATAGTTAAATAATAATTCAAAAACGGTTCATTAGAATTTTGATATACATACATCAAAATGTTTTAAAAAAATATCTAACCAACGATTTACATGGGAGGGAGGAAACATGTTTTCATTTTTCTATAAAGAGCCGTACGCTTTTGTTGTGTCCGGCTTAAACGCGTATGACAGCAAATTTTTATTAAAATTTATAACATAACATAGTGCTTGATATTCTTAACAAAATAATATTTTATATATTTTTAACTCATTATTATTATATAATTTTTTGATTTTAAAATCACAATTATATTTAGAAATTTTGAGGTAGAAAATAAAGTTTTTTAGAAATTCAATAAATAATTACTAGTGGAATAGATATCAGTAGGACCCTTATATTTATTAAAATGTAGTCTTAAAATATGAAACATTTGTAATGAATTGTATACATAGTTCAGTGGTTTAAATTATTTATACGAAATAATTCTTGTCAGATTATAGGTTATTTATAGTAATTGTTTTCTTTTCAGTTCGCTACATTAATTTTAAAAAAAAAACAATAAACACTCCATTTTCCATTTTATTTTTATAATTATTTACATTATAAAGCAAATTAATGTAACCCAACTAATAAATTATGAATTATTTTTTTTTTTAAAAGCAATTATAATGAATAAATGCTGCTTATACAAAATATAAAAACTCATAAAGATTCACTTTAAAATGAAAAAAGTTGACACATTTATTTTACTCACCAACTACGGATTAAGTCATTTACACAATTTTTATCAATACCAAATGTTATAAAAAATATATAGGACGTGGGTATTTTATTTATAGATTTTAAGCTTGGGCATAGTGCCTTTAGTCTAACCAAGGCTCAGCAACCTGCGGTTCTGTTAATTAGCATCAACACATTTTTCTTTATATTATAAATGATATACAGTAGAATCCGCTTATTGTGGACACGTTGGGTCCAAAATCATTTGCCCATATAAACCGAAATTAGTTAGTATACAATTGGGTCTAGACCATTTTGCCCATATTTGGCGGAATCCACTATATTGTAATATAAATGATAAGTAAATGATTATTTTTGGTTGAATAAGGTATTTTTAAAAAAAGCTTCAAGTACCTTCCTAATAATGACAACTAAAAAAAATAATATATAACTTTCCTACAAAAATGTTGCTGACCCTTGGTTAGGTTAGTAATATATAAGTACTATTATCTGCTGTTTGAAAATATTTTTTTAAGTAAGGTGATATTTATTTTATCGTTTTGTATATTCATATTTCATAGTTAATATGTATTTTTTAAAATCTAAATAAGTGATTCAATTGTATCTGCTTTAGATGACAAGAAATATATTGGGTACTGAACCTAGGGTAACAAGGTTTAAGATCAATTGGGACGACTCGGAACAACCTACTACTAGTAATGGAATACAAACTACCTGTCACGAAAATGAAGATTCAAACCTACAAGAAATGGATGAAGAAGTGTCATCTTTGTTATCTTCCCATGCAGACAACAGCCTTAGTCAAAGTCCAATGGAAGTATTGTAAATCGACTGATCCAATATCTCATCTATTTTAATATCAATATTTTTCTAAGTACTACATTTTATTAAAAAAAAGTAAAAGAAGTGTTAATCATGTAATAAATTTAAAAGCAATTAATTTAAAATTGAAATAAAATAAAGACGTTTTTTATTCAATTTTGTTTGGTTTTGTTAAATAACTTCAGCCCTTTATTTTATATCTTAAATAAATTATGGAACACAATACAAAAAAACAATATTGTATTAAAAAAATTAGCAAATTTATACAATGCATAGGATAATAATTTGTATTATTTATAACTCTTCCTTGACGTAAGATGGTTTTAATTCTTCAACTCTTTTAATATAATCTGTCTTTTCTAAACAACCATCACAAATTTCTCCCCAGTTGTCCAATATTTTCTTCAAATCTTTAACTTTCATCTTCTTTAAGTTGACTGTTTTCCAATCAATTTCTTTGTCTAAAATGAAATAAATTTTGTATTTAAAGCAAATTGGCTAAATATTTATGAATAGTAATTGAAAATTTCACTTATAAATATAAAAAAACTAAAATTTTCCAACATACCATATTTAATATCGCAGATTTGAGCATCCATTTTCTTTAAGCGTTCGCAGATTTTAAGTGCCGGCATGGACCACGATAAAGGTTTTGACATTTCACTTAATATACCAGTTGCAGAATCTTCTAATCCACCCAAATAGTAACACTAGAATTTTGAATAATATGAATTAATACATAAATGTAAATTAAGTATTATAAACTGTAAATAAAATAACGCGTTTTTTCCTGCACTACATGGAAAAAGTGCACTGAGGGGTGATCAAATTAAGTGTCTTCACTCATTATTTCAAAAATGTTAACCTTTTTTTGAAAATATTCTTTGTATATAATTCCAATGTCATTTAAAAACAACAATCCAAAAATTATATTTTTTATTATTATAATTTTTTTCTTGGATGTCAACATACTTTTTAATTGTATATTACTGAGCAAGAATATTATTCTGAGTATCACAATCTAATTAGATCAAATTAATGACAAGTAGTTCATCAGTAGCATTTAAAGTTTAGATAGCAGAGTAGTGGACAACATTTTGGGGGGTGCCCCCGTTCTACTACTCTATTCATCTGACCTTTAAATGCTTATAACTTATAAATAATAAACTACTTGTCCGAAATTCGATCTTTATAGACTGTAATACTCAGATTATTATTCTTGATTACCAATATAAAATTAAAAAAGTAAAAAATTATAACAATAAAAAATAATAAAAATAATATTTAAAAAAAAAGTTGAAAGTTTTTGAAATAATGAGTGTAGACACTTAAATGGATCACCTGGTATATTATATTATTAGTTAAAAAAATTAGAAAAGTATGACAAGGTACAACAACCAGATGTTGAGCACTATTGTCTCTCATTGCTGGTACTAGCCCAGAGTAGTGATATGTTGTGATGATATTAAATACACACTCAATCATCGCAATATTCAAAAAATCATTTCCAAGCAGAAGTCAGTAAAATATCAACTTTTTAAATTTTTTATCTTACAATAAGCATAATAATTTGTTGTTAAATAATTGTTACATATTGTAGTTATGAGAAAAGGAGTCACTCGTTATTGACACTTGAATATGAGAAATTTAATTATAATAAGTTGCAATACTATTTTCTATTGAAACAACTGGGATTAAACAAGATGTTCTATGATAATAGGTATATTAACTATCTTAACTTGTCCTTAAGCTAAGATAAAACCAAAAATAATCTCAATGAAGTTGAATTAAATACGATTTCAAATCCATAAATTGCTACACAAATCATTTCAAATACTGTTTATACCCAAAATGTATTCCCTTGGAAAAAAATAATAATATTTCAATAACTGAGCACCACACATCTAAAACGTTTCACTCATTTTATAAGGTGAAAATATATTTTATTTGAATACCTACCAGTCTTTTTTCCTTATCAATCTTTGTAGACAAACAATATTTTCTGAATTGTTCTTCAATATTTTTTGGTTTTAATTCGCCTTCAAGTGATTTTGAAAACTTATCAATTGTAAGCACGCAAACTATAAATATAAATACAATAATAAATTAAGTATTATAGCTATGGAGAAAAAAACCTTAGCACTAGCATAGCAAAAATAATATAGATAGTTACTTACCAGGACAATCTTCTTCAGTAAATGTTCGCGATTGTGCTTGAAATACATTAACAATGAAAAACACACATACGAACAATATGTGTTTATCCATTGTCAAATAGAATTTTACAACTCAATATTCAGAATTATGTCAAGTTACTATTTTTTTTTATAAATAAACTAAATATATTAATATATATACTATAGAAAAATATAGAGATGAGTACAAAAAAAGATTGTTTTAGTATTTTTGAAAAAGTCGTTCACGACAATTAATACTTCTTAATTTTATTGAAGCGCACAAGCGGTAACAAATTTTAGACACATCACTAATTTTGAACTTATCAAATACATATATAATAGTATCCCACTGTTTTAGCATAATATAATCCAAACACGACTTGGCGAAATCTCATTGGTCCGTCACTCCGGTATGATTGAAGTATGGAACGCGCACATTACATCATACCATAGAACCACAAAATAGTTAACAGATTAACTGTTATTCTGTGATAATATTAAGATGGATTGATAAAATTAAAAATATTATTATTAATCACGGACCAAGATTTTAATTTTTAGTCCGTGTTATTAATATAATATTAATCGAGGGATTTTTATTAATTTTTTCCAATTCTTTAATAATTCTTTGTGCATTGATCCTTCAATCTGTGTTCTGTTGATGATCAAAGGTATCTTAAGTAAATGTTCCAATATGGATATTATCAATATATTCGTGGTTCTGTCTAAGCTCCAACCACTTTCCCATGATTTATATATGAAACTAGATACTTTCGAAAGATCAAAGAACTTTTAAATCAAGTTGGAAATGTGAAATCGTCGTACTTAATTAGTTATACGCTAATCTATTATTTGTTTTATAAGTTTGTAACATTTAATATATTTTTAATTCTTTAAAATATAAACTATAGTCGTTTTTGGATAAGGCTAGATTAACTAAAGAATTATATCGATAATTTTGAATGTAAACATAGTATTGAGTACATAACGACGTGTAATTAATATGTCAATTACGTAAGTATTCTATACATCTATAGTAAAAAAAATGGTAAAAGTTCTATATTTTTCATGAATCATGATGTTCATTATAAATATTATTTTGAGTTATTTCAAATATTATGTTTTAGGCATATACAATAATTTTGTTTATGCCTACCCACATATTGTATCAATTAAACTGTGTGACAAACCTATTTTAATATTTTATAGTTTGGTATCTTAATTGCATAGTTCTATACCTAGAGCCTTAATAAAAAAATAAACAGAGTGATTTTTTAAGAATGCTCACCCTATTTGAATGCTTAAATTGTGCATATTATATTCAAGTCCTGGATTTTGGAATTTTTAAACACACTTGAAGACCATAATATTTTCTACCCAATAGGTATATACTTATCTATGGTTCTACTTTTATGTAAATTGTTTCTTTTTTAATATTTGTGTACTTGCGTACTAATAGTATCATTAATAGTCATATTTTCAAATTTGTTTTATAGAATTATTATATTTTACAAGAAATAGTTACCTAAGTAATTTTCTACTATCATTATTATCAAAATATTATAGAACAATTCATATTTTTTTGTTGGTTTTTGTCCAAACTTGTTAAAATATACAAGTGACAACCATAATATTATATAGCTTTAAAACTATACATAGATCTATAAATATATGTCAACGGTTCATTAGTCTGTCGGCCTGTATCCCGTATTATTTGTACATTTATTGTTTGATATAGTAAAAAATAAGACCAATCACGATGTGGTACCCTTTTGAACACCCAAACCCCCTCACTTATTGTATACATCACTGACTTAAAAATTAAACATTTGAATAAATTTAAAAATGTGTTTTAGGATCGACAAGAAAGGAAAAAAAAATACTCGTAAGCCAGTAGATAGCGAGCACATACAACATGCAGAGTTTATTAAAAAGTGTCATCTACAATTAAGATTAAACTCTATGAAAATAGGTGCTGACGAAGCATGGCAAAATCACTGCTCAGATGATTCACTTTTAAAAGTAAAACAATTGTTTTGTGTACTTCAAATTAATACTTAATTATTATTTATTTTTTTACTACGTTTTATCACTCAAACCATAACTACATTTAAAATTTGTCTGTATATTGTATTATTTATTTATATTTATATGTTTCAGAGTTATTCAATTACTATGCACAAGCTTGCATCACAGTTTTGGGATACAAATAATAAAAGCGAACCTTCAAGTTGTAGAATTTCATGGATATCAAACAATATATTAAAATATTTTCAAGAAGATTATACACATGAAATAATCCGAGAAAAATCCTTAGCTCAAAGATTTAATGTATTTTGGAGCACAGATGATAATATAATCTGTACGCCTGAAAATCCTTTTTATCTACTTGATGTAGGAAGTTGTTATAATCCTTTTCATAAGAATTTGTCATATAAAGTGTTGCCTATAGATATAGCACCAGCTATCAAAAACGTTGTTAAATGTGATTTTCTTACAGTACCTCTGGATGTAAAGTTAAATATTTTTGATAATGTTTGTCAAACACTACCATTGTCCAACTTTGATGTAGTCGTATTTTCTTTATTTCTTGAATATTTTCCATTACCACAACAAAGGTATAAATGTTGTGAAAAAGCTTATAATGTTCTTAAACCAGGTGGTTTATTAGTTATTGCAACCCCTGATTCTAGTCATGCATCATATAATGCCAAAATAATGAAAAATTGGAAAATATCATTAAGTAATTTAGGATTTTGGCGTATCAAATATGAAAAACTTACTCATATACATTGTATGGTATTTAGAAAATGTTTATTTAAACAAATTCCCAGAAATTGGTTGCATTCTTTGAATATTATAAATAACACTGAAGATTTAATAACAATCCCACAAGACTCTAGAAATTATGACAAAATTAATGAAACATCAACAACTATAATACAGCGTGAAGATGATGATGAGGTTGCTAACTTATTTTCTGAATTAATTAATATATAAGTAAAGTATTGTTAAATTCAATTTTGGATTTTTTAAATTATATTTTTAAGCTTAACCTATAATAATCGGTTATTATTATATATTTGTATTTAATTTGTTTTTTAAATTTGTAGAAATAAATTAGAAAATCATGTATTTATTTTCTGAACTGATGAATAACCATTAACCATCCATTCTGACTATAAAGGATGATACCCTTAAAGTCTAAAGTAAAACATAATATACTGGTATACAACAATACAACACTCCAGAGATGGTTCTGTACACTTGCACCTGCATTTTGGGACTTAGCAGTGGTATTACCATTTACTATCACAGTGGGACCATGTGTAATTTATATAATTAAAACAACAGTCTTATAAGTTTGATTATTGATAGATGAAAATCCCTGCTACCTGAACCTTGTGGAGAAGACCTGTAGGCTAGTGTAAACTGTAACGCCTGTAACAGTGTTAGAAATAAAAACAAGGAAAATAGTTTTATAATAATACTTTTATAATACTCTTTATTCTTATTGATCCAAATTGATATACAATATAGTTCAGAACATTATCTGTGGAATATCGTATTTTATTTTTTTGATATCCCTTGTACGAAAGTTCTTATTGTTTCAAAATCCATTATTTTTGTGTTTTTCAGACTTCAATAACTTTTTTTGTAGTTCCGAATTCTCGATACCTATCGAAAAAAAAAAACGATAATATTACACAGCTTAAGTTCTACTGTTATGCCGTGAAAATATTTAAAACCAGTATATAATTTTTGCCATTAATTATTTGAGTGATTTAAGTGATATAATATTTGCCATTATTTTACAACAATTAGTTTATTTTTTTTGTATATTTTACACATTAGGTACCTACTATTATATTTACTAGTTATTGACAAAGATTGGATATTATTATTTAATTTCCTTATAATATATCATGCATATTGTGACATATTCACATAAAAAGAATGTTAATAATTATTATAATTGCATTAATTTTACAAAAATTACATACCAACTATTTTATTATTTTGCATAATAATATTATATTATATAACTTTTTGTTTTGGTCGAAAAGGGAAGGGTACGTTTTTGTACGAAAAGGGGCTCGCCCAGCATAATATATCAAAATGTACGTCCAGCAGTACCAATTTTGTATTGTTTGCTTAAATATTATAAATTATAATGAATTCACCGATTTTCAAACTTAAATGTTAGAACATTATCTGTGTCCTCTCGTCGGTTTTACGATATTTTAATTTTTAAGTGATTTATGACTAAAATCTCATACCTCGCCCATTGCCCAACTTTCTTACTCTGAATAGAGTATAGTAGTTATTAACTTATTAGTCAATACCACGGACTAAGATCTAACGTATAATGGTTAATATATTAATCTCTAACTTTCAAGTTTGCGTGCTTTTAGCTGTAACAAGGTTAAGTATCGATATAGCTGCCTTGAATTTTTTTTACGCAGGCGCAGGCATATTTTACATTTAATGTACCTATTGATTTTACAATGACAAGTGGTGCTTTGATTTTCAACTTTAGGGAATTTATACTTTTGTGAGCTTGAAATTTAAAATACCCAGTAGTTTTCTAAAGCACCAAGAAAAAATAAAATTGATAATAAATAAAAATTAATAAACTATATTTCTTTTTGACTCCATTTAGAATGCAACTGGCAAGTCGAAGTCTCATAAGACTATAAGAGTGCCTGCCAGTGGCATAGATATTTAGGTTTTTGACATGGGTGGGATTATGATATTATCCAGTAGGCCCGCATTTAAAGCTAGACTGCTAGAGGCCTTAAGTTAGGACTCTGAAAAATGTTGCATATTATGTACAGCCTATGGGGGGGATGAACCCCTTGATCCCCCCCATAAATACGCAATTAGTGCTGCAGCCTGGAGGTCTATTGCTGGAAAGTAGCCGGCCTTCAGAAAATGAAAAGTGTTCCACTGTGCCATTTGAATAGTTGACCTATTACAATTAAAAAAAAAACGGCCAAGTGCGAGTCGTACTCGCGCACGAAGGGCTCCGTACCATCATCAGATATAAACATTTTGGCAACACTGATTATTTTATTTATTCTAGGATTTTTAGTATTTGTTGTTATAGCGGCAACAGAAATACATAATCTGTGAAAATTTCAACTTTCTAACTTTCATGGTTCATGAGATACAGCCTGAAGGTGACAGACGGACGGACAGCGGAGCCTTAGTAATAAGGTCCCGTTTTGCCGTGCGGAACCCTAAAAACAACATATAATCTTCATCTAGTATGTACAATAAAAAAATGTTATAAGGTCATGGGTGGAAAAACATTAGTACCTACCTACTTGGGTGCGAAATTTCTGCAGTATATAATAGAAATATTGTGTATTTGTGTACCTATCTATGGTTAATCTATTTAAATAGTTTGAGAATTAAGTACCTAGATATTATAATCATATACCTAGTTTGTATTATATAAAACTTTATTTATTTCAATGTAGGTATATCATATATTATTAATATTCATGTTAAAAAACAATCATCCATCTCGACAGGAACGTACATGTATTTTCATGTTTGGTACAAACCATACAATTATAGATAATACATTTAAAATTCCTATCGTATTATTTATCATAAAGGTAAGGCTTGAGAGTGCAATACAGACGTGTACGGTTATGGCAGGTTACAGGTTTATCTGCAATGTAGGTATAGGTACCTATTATTATGATTTATGAAGTTATAACTATAAATCATAATATATAGGTAGGTCGTAGGTACCAACACTATATGTCTGTATAATAATATTGTATTGGTATATTATAAACGTATATAGGTTCTAATATAGTATAATATATTGTAATATATAAATTTAAGTTATAACTTTTATAAAATAAACACAACAATAATTACTAAAATTATTAAAATATTTTGTACAGACAATACCTACCATATTTTCACTGACACCTATATAACCCTTATATATATTACTAATTATATGAAAATAATCTATCTGAAAAATTAAAACAGTGGCATTTTCATTATCGATAATTTGCCATAGAAAATTGAAACAATATTTGTATAGGTTATACCTCAATGGCCCAGCCCGTCCCTCTCAACATTTACAACTCCAGTCTCTAATGAGCCTCACTATTCCCATGACACGTCTATGAAACTATAAGTAAGCCTATCGACTACTGAGATAATTGGTTTCAGTTTCATAACTCAATTACTCCACAGATCATTGGTTCACACTATGAAACAATTATGTTTTTCTAACTATAGTAAATTTTAAATATTATATGACCATTGGCGCAAATAGGGGGGGGAGTACATACAGTACCTAAATACCTAATACCTATAACTAAATTTAGTTCATTGTCTGCCACGGCCATATTACATATCTAAAATAAGTATATTTACTTGGTCGATCAGAAATGCATCACTGCTGGTGTTTAAATTTGTCAAAAATTAACTGAATAGTCTGCAACTGTTAAAATAAACATAGGGTAAAAGTACCTACAGTTTTTCATTTTTAAATTACAGCAAATCTTTACTTGAGAAATCGAGTGAATATATGCAATGTCGTAAAAAATTTAACTTCAGACGCTCTTAAAAATTGTAATTTGATTTTCTTATGGACAAAAAACCTAACCTAACCTCCCCAATGCACAAACGATATTCACTTTCCAATCGAACAAGATACTGAAGTTGAAAATCGAAGAATTATTTCGACTACTTATCGTGTACAGAGACACAAAAAAATAAAAAAATAAAAAAAAACACACATCATTGTAACATCAATACATTCATCGTTCCACTCAGAATCTAAAACTATTGAAAATGATAAGTTCATTAAAGAAAGATGATTCATAGGGCCAATGCAGGTTATAAATGTTAGTCTATAAAAATATTTCTACTATACTTAAATTCTTAAAAAAAAAATTGAAGCGGAGAGTTGGCACCCGCAGGCAAATGCGTTTTAGAAAACAAAAAAAAAAAAAATTAGAAATTAAACAATAGGACCACACATGAAAGAGTTCAAACTAAAATGTCCAGGTTCTTAAATAGATAACACTATTTAAAATTATTAGTGCAGGTTATCAATGTTCACATCTTAACAAAACATTTAACTAGAGTTCAATAACTAAAAAAAAATTTTGAAGGGGGGTGTTGGCGCCCGAAGGCAAATGCGTTTTAGAAAACAAAAAAAAAAAATTAGAAATTAAACAATAGGACCACACATGAAAGAGTTCAAACAAAAATGTCCAGGTTCTTAAACAGATAACACCAAACAAAAAAAAAAAATAGAAGAAATTTAACATAGGACCAGACATTAAATAGTCAGGTTATCAATGTTCATATCTCAACAAAAAATTTAACAAGAGTTAAATAACTAAAAAAAAAATTTGAAGGGGGGTGTTGGCGCCCGAAGGCAAATGCGTTTTAGAAAACAAAAAAAAAATTAAATTAGAAGAAATTAAACAATAGGACCACACATGAAAGAGTTCAAACTAAAATGTCCAGAAACTTAACAGAAAAAACTATTCAAAATGATAAGTTCAATTAAAGAAAGATAATTCATAGGGCCAATGCAGGTTATCAACGTTCAGGTCTAAACAAAATATTTACTAGAGTTAAATAACTAAAAAAAAAAACTTGAAGGGGAATGTTGGCGCCCGCAGGCAAATGCGTTTTAGAAAACAAAAAAAAAAAAAAAATAAGAAATTAAACAATAGGACCAGTGGACCACACATGAAAGAGTTCAAACTAAAATGTCCAGGTTCTTAAATAGATAACACTATTTAAAATTATTAGTGCAGGTTATCAATGTTCACATCTCAACAAAAAATTTAACAAGAGTTCAATAACTAAAAAAAAAATTTGAAGGGGGGTGTTGGCGCCCGAAGGCAAATGCGTTTTAGAAAACAAAAAAAAAATAAAATTAGAAGAAATTAAACAATAGGACCACACATGAAAGAGTTCAAACTAAAATGTCCAGAAACTTAACAGAA